TTACACAATATACCCCCACCTATCCTTAATTACAAAAGTCCCCCGACGTTTTTTTTTTCATCTTACACCGACTACCTTATGGTGTAATTTCTCAAGGAATCTTTTTGGTTCCAGTTAATATTTCCACGAAAAATGTCAATTCTACTCCTGCAAATGTAGCATTTCTTTATGCTACTTTTGAAAGATAAGAAGTTTTAATTAAATATGTTATTTAAGAAGAAATAAAGATTCTGTGTAAAGGTGTCCTGATGATAATTTTTGCCTTAAAAAAGTAGCATAAAAATTCGGCATTTTTCAGAAATATCACTTGAAATAAAAAAGATTCCATGAAAAATTGTTGATGACCACGTTTACAAAAAAATTAAGCACTGTTAGTGAAATATATTATTTAATATTAATATCTCCAATAAAAATCACACCACAAAGGGTTCGGTGTAAGATGAAAACAAATGAAAGGGAGATTTTGGTGATTACGAATGGGTAGGGGTATTTTTCGTAATTTACCCTTTTTTAATATGTATATATGAATTATGATGTGTTCGTCTTAATTAATAGTGACGTCTCTGTAAATTGAGAAGTTTGGCCTTTTTTTTTTGCCGCTTCGATTAAAATAATGATGCACTAGACGAAACTACTTTTTTTTGGCGCAGCTGTCAAAACAATCACAAAATCCATTAATGTATTCTCGTTCATCTTTCATCCACACAGAAATTCGTTCATTGAGCATAATAATTATTTGATTAAATTACACTTACACCCTGAAGTATGCTAAAATAATTTTGAAGTCCCTGTGGTATTAGTAATTATAGTCGTAGACACGGCCATGGGCCGGTTCACTCCGGTTCCGGGTCGGCCCGGAAATTTATATATATATATATATGGGTGAAAGTCGGATGGATCGGATCGGAATTAGCCTTTTCGGAAAATTTCCAAAAAGTTTCGGAAGTACAAAATCAATTCCAAGTCCAATTCCAAAATTTTCGGAATCTAAAAATTCATTCCAAATCCAAAAGGCCCGGAAATTTCGGAATTTCGGAAAAATCGGAAATCATATAAGCTTAAAATTATCAAAACTTAGCGAAAATTTTCTAAAATGTTCATAATTTTCTAAAAGTAAGAACGTCCACGTCGATAAAAGTAAAACTAACAACTTCTAAATTTTAGTCCAAAAAATAAGTAAATATGTAATACAACTTCTAACAACAATTCATCGTGTCAAAATCCTAAAACAAAATTTATAGGTGTATTTTTCGGAAAAATAAATATTGTATAATATTTAAAATTTATAGGTGTATTTTCGGAAAAATATCGAAATTTTTCGGAATTAATTTCGGAAATTAAATCGGATCGGAAATCGGAAATTCCAAATTTATTTTATATAATTCCAATTCCAATCCAAAAAAATCGGAAATCGAAATTTCGGAAGTCGGAATGAAAAAAGTTGTCCAAATCGGAACCGGCGGAAATTGGAATTTTCGTTCCAACTTGCACCCCTATATATATATATATTTTTGAAAATACTTGATGGATAAATATATTAAAAAAATTACTTTTAAATATGAAAAAGGCAAAAGAAAATAAATAAAATGACATGAACTTAATTTTATAGGAAAAAATGGGGTGTGAGGGTATTTATCGAAAAAAATGGGGGGAAAAAAATTCAAAAAAGAGCAAATAACGGCTGGTTCAGTGGGCCGGTTCAAGTTTTTTAAGCTTTTTCAGCTTTTTTTTTTTTGTTTTTTTAATTTTTTTTAATTTCGGGTGAACCGCCAGGCCCGGCCTGGCGGTTCATGGTTCACCTATTTTAAGAACCGGGCCCGCCCCGAGAGACAGTGGCCGGTTCACAGTTCCGGACATGTTCATCAGTCAACGGGCCGGTTCGAGCCGAAAACTGGCCCGTGGCCGCGTCTAGTCACACTGCTGAAACAATTGTCTGAGCCAAGACTTCATACCCTGTAGATTGATATGTATTGTATTTGTTTCTTGCGGGGCCTTTAATGCTACCATAGACAGAAAATTATAAATCTTAGATAAAATAATAAGGATTTAAGAAACTTTAAACTTACATATAATTAAAAACTTAATTATAGATAATACTTTAAATTTTTAATTGTTTTCCGGCCCCAAAAAAAAAAATTAAATTTCTATTTTGGGCTCAAAATAGTGTTTTCCGTTAGATGTGAATGAACACATGATGGAGGGGATCAAATGTGTTTAAAATTGAATTTTGAAGGTGAAATTTGTTCCCTTTTGAACAAAGGGGACCAAAAGTAGAATTGAGCCAAATATAAGAGACGAGAAATATTTACTAATTACTATTTATCATACCTTAAAGGTTCTTGTCTTTGCATATAAATCAAAATTTTCATGATTCTTCCCCTCTTAATTCATCACAAAAAAATTCAAGATAATCCAAACAAATGGAATGGGTTATTTATTTCCTAAATTCAGCCTTCAAATTAATTTAAAGTTTAAAATATTACAATCAAATATTTACAATTTATTAAAGGTCCTATGTTCTTCAATCTCGCCTTCATTTCGTCTAATTGATTGTACTCTGTCCTATCCATGCACTCCGTCAAATCTGCTCCATTCCTTTCCCCGCCGCTGCCATCGTCGAAACTGTCACGCAGCCACACACAGGCGAACACATATCAAACACGTACACATGACACGCACACACATACGATTTTGGTTACACTCATTTCCCTCCGCTGTAATCCAATAATCATGAAAACCAGAAGGAAAAATATGAACAATTGTTTGGTGATGGCAGATGATAAGTTTGGTGGTGATGCAGGTACTAAAGATTTAATTTTTTTTCTTAAGTTAACTAAGTTTTGTAATTAAACTATGCAAATGAGCTTTCTCAGCTGTCTAATTAACTTAAACCTCATAGTAAAATTACACAAGATACATGTTTTTTTGTTGAACTTTTGCTCATAATGTAACTAAGAAGTTCTGTAAATAAGTTTTATAAGTTGTGTATGTATGTGGGGTGCATCTATTCTTGTTTTAGTTTTTTTCTTCAGTGTATTTTTACTAAAGTGTTGCTTATAAATATAATTAAGTTGTGCAAATCACGGTCATTGTTATTGTCAGTTTTATTAAGTTGTTCCTTATTAATATAACTAAACTGTGGAAATCATCATCGTCACAGTTACTGTTAGTTTTCATAAGCACGCAATTCCATTTGAGACACTTTAGATCTAGCGTCAGTTTCAGAGTAAAATATGGCACAAGGACTTTTAGCAAACGGCAAAATCCGCTTCTCCTTTAAGTTATAAACAATAATTTTTGAAGGGCTTTCAACTAATTTTCCCAAAATATAAACCTTAAATTTAGTTTTTAGTATTATTATTTATTTAATTGAAGTGGAGTATAGAATCTAATCAGTGGCCATCTTGCTGTCACTTTCCAGAATTAATGTCACTTTTCCATCTTTTCTAGTTGTTTTCCATATTATTCATACTTCTTTTTTATCAATTATTTTTATTATAAATAGATTTTATTTTATTTTATTTTTCCTAAAGGGACTGAGAAGTAATGCCTGAAAGACCCTTAGGCCCTTAGCCTTAGAATTTTTTTTTTCATCTATTTACACATACCAATATGGATGTGTGTGCGTTTGTGTGCTAATAAAAGGCGATGATCGATAATATAACCCAACGATCAGTAAAATGTGTAGTCGACATTGATTCGAAGCAACTCATGGTTTAGTTGGTTGTTTCTCTTACAATATGATCAACCGTACTATCTTCCCTAGAGAGCGGAACGCCTTCGTTGTTTCTCTTAAGCATCTGCTTTTCTCGTCTCTCGACCAGTGCTGTAACGAAATTGACAAAATTAAATTAAATAATCATTCGCCAATGTTCCTATATAAGTAAAAAAAAAGACGGTAGACGTGTTAGTATTTTACGACTTTTACCTCTCCGAGTGCGTTGAGTTTGTTGCGTACGCCTTTCAGCAGATCTTCTGCATCTCCGTCCCATCTGTGGAACTCCAGATTCTTTCCCTCGAAAATCTTCTTCGATACCTATTTATAAAAAATTATGACACATCATAAGAAGTTCAATTACCGAGCATGTCGTATGTATGCCAGCATATGCATGATGACATAGAAGCCACTAGGTTTCCAAGAAATAAAGCTAATCCGTTGTCTTAAGAACATCGATTCTTTGAGTAGAGATCAAGGGCAATACTTCATTGAACTTTCGACCCGATTATTTATAGAAAATTTAAGATAAAATTTAGACACAACATAACAAACAATATTATATTGCTACATATATTATATGAGGCGGAAATCGGACAGTTCGGATCGGAATTACCAGCACTAGGAAAAAAAATCAATTTTTTGAGGTGGAAAACTAATTCCAATCCCGTTAAAAGAAAAACAGAAATTTTCGGTTCGGAACCCGTAATTTTCAATTTTTTAGTCATCTATACTACAAAATACATAATAATATCGATATTATAACTATAAGTGTATTTTTTTTAAAAATAATTGAATTGAAAATCAGAATCTATTACGTATTCCAATTCCTTTTTTTTTTAATCGGAAAAATAAGAAAATTTTGGATAGGCGATCGGTGGAATTTAGAAGTTCCGTTCCAATTCCACCCCTCCATATATACATTTTGCAAACTTGCAATTAATTAAAGATTATTACATTAGATTTTACTTGCACTTACGAAACATGCGAACGTAACAAGACCGGAAATAGGATAGGATATACCTGTTTGGCAATAACTTGACCAGCAGCAATGTGAGAGAAATATATATTGTAGAGATGAGAGAGAAACAATGGAGGACTTTCGTCTGCAAGTTGTTCCAAATATTTGGCATATTCCAATCCGGGATTACTAGCCTCCGGAATCACATTACCCTGCTCCCTAAACCATTCTAAATCCATCGAAATACGATCCGATCTTTCTAACCCACTCTTCCTAAAATAACCATCTGCAAAAAATTCACAAACCACAAAACACCAATTCTTGAATTATGCAAAGCTCTTTCAGCAGAATTTCGGAACTGAAACAGCAATAACCAAAATTCAAGAACTAAAAAAGGGACCTCACAACAATAAACAAATGAAATAAAAAAATAAAAAATCGATCTTTCTTTAAAAAAAAAATTGCCGAAAAATCAAATGATGCAGATGGTAAAGCAGTAGGTGCAATATAAAAAATTCAATCTTTCTTTACATCTCTTCATCAACAATCACATTCACAGAACACCAATTCTTGATTTATGCAGAGCCCATCTTAGAGCAACTCCAATGGGATAGTTAATGGAGTGTCAAAACCCTTAACTACCATTTTGATAATTCAAGATAGGAATTTTCTACTCCAATGGAGTTATCAAATGAGGTTGTATTTTGATATTTTATTTTTTGGGAGGTAAAAATACATCCGGGAGAAATAATACCAATTGGAAGTTACACAACTTAACCACCTAAATTACCAATTAGAAAATCACATGTGTTAATTAAAATATACAATCACATTATTTATTTTTAATTACCAACTATTTGATGTCCATGGTTGGAGCAAATAAATTTATTTAGGTATCAAACTAAAATATGAAATATCAAATAAATATTTAATAACTCATTTTGATATTTTTGGGTTGGAGACTGGGAGTTGCTCTTAGCAGAATTTCATAAATGAAACAGCAGTAACCAAATTCAAGAACAAGAAAAAGGGACTTCACAACAATAAACAAATAATTAATTTTTTTTTTTTTTTTATTTCTTTAAAAAAAGGCCAAAAAGTCAAATGATGCCGATGGTAAAGCAGTAGATGCAATAATAAAAATTCAATCTTTCTTCAAATTTTCTCTTTTTTGTTTTTTTTTTTGAAAATATTAGATAGCAGAATTTCAACAAAAAAAAAAAAAAATCAAGAACAAGAAAAAGGGACTTCACAACAATAAACAAAAAATAAATAAATTGATATTTAAAAAAAATGCCAAAAATTCAAATGATGCAGATGGTAAAGCAGTAAATGCAATAATAAAAATTCAATCTTTCTTTAAACAAATCTTTTTTTCTGAAAAGATCAGATAGCAGAATTTGAATTAAAAAAAAAAGATCAAGAACAAGAAAAAGAGACTTCGCAAAATTAAAAAGAAAAATTAAATCTTTCATTCAAACAAAAAAAAGAAAAGATTAGAAAGAACAATAGAAGAGGGCTTACATGACACGTCAGCAGACTGATCAACAATGCGTTCAACAGTACTGAAAACGAGGCGACTATCCACCAAATACTTCAAAAAACCCTCCATTGTAGGCTGCCATTTCTCACCATCATCATTTTTCTCACTATTTTTATCACCATTTTCACCACAATCTTCCCTATTAGTATCTTTCCTCTTGTTTTTCCTGTATTTCCCCAGTTTCATCGCCACAAACCTCATCTCCTCGGCCACGCCCTTCATCTCCCCCGGGTACTGCTTCCTGTACCGCCGCAGACGGCGGCGCAGCGGCGGCGCCGGATGCCCGTTTATCGCCGTTCTTGGCGCCTCCCCTTCTTCGTATTCTGAGCTGGAATCGTACTCTTCTTCTTCTTCTTCGTACTCACTCTCTGTGTCTGAAACTAGGGTGGGTGTGCTGAATCTTGTGCATTGCCGGGTTATTGTGGGAAACCCGCCGCCGCCGCCGCCGCCGCTGGTAGAAAAAAAATTCACACATTTATCTGATTCTGTGTTGAGTTTTCTTGAAGATTGGGATTTGTTCAATAATTGGAGTCTTGGATTATTGAGCAGCTGCAAAAGGAAAGTGGGGTTTAGAGTTGTGGAATTAGTACAGTAGCATCCCATTTTTTTGTTCTACTCCTTTTTTTTTTTTTTTTCTTGAACTTTTAACTAAATTTTCTGTTATAAATAAAATAGGTTTGTTTGGTTTGGGGTTTATACGAAACCCCAATATTGTTTGGGCTTGTTGGTGGTATCCCGATAGAGATGCTTTAGGCTTGGACTAAAAGCCCATATAAATAGGAGGGGCTATTTGACAAAAAAACCCCTTATTCAATTTTTTAAGAGGAGTAAATACACTTTTAGGGATAACCTATATCATGAAAAAAAAAATTCCTTCCATTTCAGTATCAGATTCAGTATTAATATCAATATTGATATCGATTTCAATATTAGTATCAACATATCGGTATCTCGACTTGACCATTGGCCCGTGGGTGCACAACCGAGCAGAATCGCTGGGTCACACCCATCTCCTCACACCATACCCGGACTTTGGATTCGTTGAACTCGGTTCCATTGTCCTAGATAAGAGTCCGAGATATAATCATATCTACAACATATATTCTCCCATAAAAACTTTAAAACACTAGCCTCGGTTATCTACGTGAGTGGCTCGGCCTCTGCACATTTTGATAAATAATCCACCGCTACAATTAAAAACTTACGTCGCCATGTCGCCATCGGAAATGGCCCGACAGTATCTCTTTCCCATTGTGCGAAAGGGCCGGGCAAGGCGAGGTGAATATGCCGAGCTCAGCGGGCAAGTGTATTAAAGGTGCATGCTCGTGGTTGCACACTTCTAAACAAACTCCCCCATGTCTTTCTTTATTGATGGCTAAAATACCCCGCCGGCATGAGTCTTTTTGCCAGAGTTCGGGCAAACCGAGTGATTCCCACAACACCCCTTGTGCATTTCCTTCATTGCGTAATCTATCTCGCTGGGCCCTAGGCATTTTAGATGGTCCAAAGTAAATGATCGCTTGTGCAGTTCTCCCCTTATTTCTACAAAATAGCGGGCCCGAGCCGCTATATGATCAGCCTCCCTCTTCAACAGCGGCTTCTCTTTCCAGGAGCTGATGTCATCATTCTAAGGACATCGAACCGGAGCAGGAGTATTTGATACATTTTGTAATTGAGAGGTGTGCATACGAAACACCCCATAATTCAGGGGTGCACAATGAACTTTGCCCTGCTTTTTATAACACCACCTAATTGCCTGAACTTGTATTTTAGGGTTCACTTATAGAATATGTAGTTTGACAATATGGAGTTTATAAAATTTTGGTGATTAATTATCTTGTGTAGCTCTTAAATGTTCTACAATATAGTTTGAAGAGCTTATAAGAATTTTCATACAACCCCGAGCATAATATTGTTTTGACATAGAGGAAACATAGCTTATCTCCTGAATAAGAGATGAATTTGCTAATAAGAAATCAATAAAATGAAATTCTAATTCAAATCCTCCATTACAGATGCTCTTAAATATCCATAAACAGAACTTATTGGACCAAAATATCAATTTGTCCTTAAACCCCAACACATTTGGTATATGTGACCACTGATATTGATCTACCAAGGTAACAACTAATAACTTTTCCTTAATTTTACGTTCAAACATAAATCATTTATTTAGTAGATGAATCAGTGCTCACTGCATATATGCATGATGTATGCAGTGATCATATTTACTGCAAAACCCTATATTTATCAAGTGAACTATTTCCGTACCTTGTTGATATGATGTAAATCTTCATTTCCTTTCTTAATGATAATATCCGTTTAGACTTGCATATCGTACGTGTAGAAGTTGGAACGGAATTTCAAGCCTCAGTTGGTACTCATTCAAAAAGTTCCTACATTATATTTTTTGCTATAATTTTCAAAATTCGATATTCGATTTCCTTTTTGTTTTTGGACACCAAAAGTATAAATAAAGTAGTTAAAAAATGATGATTTACGATCGAATTGTAAAACCAAGTAGTAATTTTGGAAAATTCTAAATTTTTTCTTTCATAAATTTATTTTACATAGTGTGAAATTAATGAAATGCTTCTTATCATTTGTTGCCTTTTCATTTACAAAAAAATCCAATTTGTTTTCTTTCTTTTTTTTTGAAAATTTTAGAACTTAATATGATTTTTGAAAATTATTGAATTCCAAAATTTCAGTAACTTTTAGATCACACAAGTTTAATCTTCAGATAATGTTCGTGGACTTAAGTTGAAATTTTCAAAGTTTAGGGACTAAAACTCTATATTTTGAAATGTAGTGTGTCGCGGAGCCGGTGAATGTGTTCATATTTGGGCAAACAAGTGTTACATTTTCGATTTTGAAATCTTGAGTCGGTGAATGAGTTCATATTTGGGGTTTAATCTGGTGAATGTGTTCATATTTGAGGGTATAGACTTGATATTTGTTCAAGTGTTTTGGTTACATTTTCGATTTTGAAATCTTGAGTCGGTGAATGTGTTCATATTTGGGGTTTAATCTGGTGAATGTGTTCATATTTGAGGGTATAGACTTGATATTTGTTCAAGGGTTTTGGATGATATTGTAGAGAATCACGCAAGATAGGAATATGAAAAATAAAATTATGGTACAAGAGTCGTAAAGCAACCCCTCGCGATAGCTAAGTCGGGCTCATTAGCAATGAGCCATGCGACCTTAGCTTCTTTTCGCTCCTCACGATTGCTAAGTTAGCATCTCCTAAATATGTTGTGAATGCCAAGTGATCGAAAACGAACAAAGAACTTTAGAAAATAAGAGAGAGTTTTGTAGGAAAATGCTTGTATTGTTTAGATGTCTTAGATTTTGTTGGATGCTTTCAAATGAAGTCCCTAGTCCTATTTATACTAGGCCACCTCCTTAGTGCATTGTGGAGATCTACTTGATCTAAGGGCTCAGAGTTGTTCACTAGAATACTCCAAAGAATTCCTACAAAATATCTACAAGGGAAAAATTCTAGAAAGTTTTATAGAATCCTCTAATAATCTTTAAAAACTCTATTTACATTTGGGCCATCTTGGGAGAAATACTATTTGGGCTAAGTTTTGGACTCCTTAACCTCCTCAACCCAAGGGAAATTGGCAAAGGGTTGGCGGGCCGTGATATCCTCCCCCGCCTAATCGGGCGACGTCCTCGTTCATCGAACAAGTGGAGACAATCTTGAAATTTTCACAAGTCTTCCTTAGTCTCCCACGTTGCCTCGGACTCGGGTAGTCCCTTCCATTTGATGAGGTATTGAATACTTGGTGGAACACCCCTACGTCGCTTCACTTGCCGGCCGAGCACTTCCGCGATCTCCTTATCATATGACTTGGTCATGACGGGTGGTGCTCGGGGTGACTCACCTCGGCTTGGGTTTTCCTTGTTTTCGTGATAAGGTTTCAACATACTCACATGGAAGACCGGGTCAATTTTTAAAGAATTTGGAAGTGTTAGGCGATAAAATACTTTACCGACTTTGGCGATCACTGAGAATGGTCCTTCATACCTCCGCACAAGACCCTTGTGCATACTCCGCAATGCCTTGAACTGTTGGGGCAAGAGCTTCACCATGACTTGCGTTCCAACGTCGAATTCTCGTGGTCGTCGTTTGTCGTCCGCCCATTTCTTCATACGTCGCCTAGCCTTCTCAAGGCATGCTCGGGCTAAGTAGGCTTGCTCTTCCCATGACTTAGCCATCTTCAATGCCCCAGGACTCCTCCCTTCGGTTGCCATAGCCAAAGTGTGTGGCCTAAGCGGTTGTTGCCCCGTTGCAAGTTCGAATAGACTCCTCCCCGTGGCTTCAATCCGCTGCAAGTTATAAGAAAATTGAGCCACGTCAAGGAGCTATACACAATCCTTTTGATTGGCTTCCACAAAGTGCCGTAAGTAGCACTCGAGTAGTGCGTTCACCCTCCATGTTTGCTCGTACGTTTGGGGTGAAAACTCATTGAGAAGCAAAGCTCGGTCCCCAAAAGTTTGAAAAGTTCTGTCCATAATCGTCCTGTAAAACGTGGGTCTCAATCACTTATTATGCTCCTCGATAGTCCCCAATAATTGACGACGTTCTTGAAAAAGAACCGGGCTGCCAACCCCGCGGTACAATCCCTCGTGAAAGCTATGAATGTTCGGTACTTTGAGAAGCGCTCTAACACCACCATGATAGACCCGGACCCCTCGAACGTCGGCAAGGCACTGATAAAGTCCATCGAGATTGACTCCCATGGTCGATCGGGGATTGGGAGTGGTTCGAGTAACCCTGTCGGCTATGATACGTTAGTGGAAAGTGTTACATAGACTTTACTTTAGGGGTGCAAACTATATTTAACCCAAAAAGATATTGTTCCAATACCAACAATATACCCATACGACCCAAATTGGGGTGCAAAATCTTAAAAAACAAAAAAAGAAAAAAAAAAGATGAAAAAAAAGTTTTCACCGCCACAAATCTAAATGAGAGAAAACAAAAGGGTGTCTTTGCAAAAACCTGTCTTCTTTCCAAAGAAATCTAACTTCGAAAGTTCGAAACTCTGATTTTAGCTGCTCAAAGCATAAATCTTGATTCAAAGAAAAGGCAAATGGCGGGCATGGAAAGACTACACCGGATGTTTGCCGGCGCCGGCGGCGCCCTCGGCCATCCGCCGCCGGATTCCCCAACCCTCGACTCATCCGAACAAGTCTACATTTCATCTCTCGCCCTCCTCAAAATGCTCAAACACGGTAAATCTAGGGTTTCTCATTTGTTAAATTACCGATTGCGCCTTCTCTTCATTTTACACAAGAAATTAGGGTTTATGCGGCGGTGCGTGAAACAGTTAAATCTCTATAAATTAATAGTCGAGACTGGGGAAATTCTATTAATTTAGCGAATTATTAAATTATTGAGTTAATAATTTAACATGTTTTCACCTAGTCGGGACCGAAAGAAACTATTTTTAAATCGAGGTTATTAATTTATCGAGGATTTACTGTAATCAATTGTTACAGGTAGGGCGGGAGTACCGATGGAAGTGATGGGGCTGATGTTGGGTGAATTTGTGGACGAGTACACGGTGCGTGTGGTGGACGTCTTTGCGATGCCGCAAAGTGGGACAGGTGTCAGCGTTGAGGCCGTCGATCATGTTTTCCAAACTAACATGCTTGACATGCTCAAGCAAACTGGCAGGTACGTGTACCAATCTGGAATGAATTTTCAATAATTTAATTTTTGCTTCATTGTAATTTCAGATTTATTGTTGTTTGAAATTCGATATTTTTCTTTCTCAAGCATCATAAATTGCAGCGTTTATGTGATTTCATGAAGGTTCTTGGCATTTAAAGGAAACGGATTTTTTCAGAAATTTAGGACTTCGAAATTTTAAAAGTCGAAAAATGGATGATTGAACTGAAATAATAATGCATTTTTTTATTTGAGAAACTTTACACGGTTGGCTGATTTTTCATTTTGAGGTTAAAGTCTTCGTCCTCTTTGAATTTGATTGAAGTACTATTAATTTGATTGGAGTCTGAAGCTTTTACCTCTTAATCAATAATTAAGCATTTCGTGTTTTATATGTTACAGACCTGAGATGGTGGTTGGTTGGTATCACTCGCATCCCGGTTTTGGATGCTGGCTTTCTGGTGTAGACATAAATACTCAACAGGTTACGACCTTTTCCTATTATTTACGTATTGTGCTTTTCAAAATATTGTTGTTTTAGTTACGGTGATGCAATATTTTTATTAGGCACGTACTCGTATTATGTTCATTGGTGTTTTTATTTTTCGTAATCTCGATTGTTACTTTTTTGAAAGAAAAAAAACTTAATATTTCTAGTTTTGTCAACTTCTTGAATAAATATTGTGTCTTAATCATGCAGAGTTTCGAAGCTTTGAATCAGAGGGCAGTAGCGGTGGTCGTTGATCCAATTCAGAGTGTTAAAGGGAAAGTCGTAATCGACGCCTTCCGTCTGATTAACCCACAGACTATGATGCTTGGTCAAGAGCCACGACAAACAACATCCAACCTTGGACATCTTAATAAACCATCTATCCAGGTAAAATCCCGTATTTTGACTTTCGGTCAAAGTCATCTACTTTCAGTTTCTAATTTTTGCAGAGTTGATCTCATTCAAGAGTTGATCTCATTCATTGCAGGCTTTGATTCATGGTTTGAACCGACACTATTACTCCATAGCCATAAATTACCGAAAGAATGAACTCGAGGAGAAGATGCTTCTAAATCTTCACAAGAAGAAATGGACGGATGGTTTGACCCTGCAGCGGTTTGACGCCCACTCCAAAACAAACGAGCAGACTGTCCAGGTACATTGTATTCTTTCTGTTGGTTTTTCCTTACTGCTTGTGGCAATGAATACATGAATTACTGTGATTGGCTTAGAATGTCAAAAAAAAATAATAGTAAACTAAAACGTCAATTGAAGCCAATTGACTCGATAAGCTTGTGGTATATGGCTCGCAAATTTACTTATAATGCTTCTTCTCCGGACATTGTTTTGTCAAATTTGCGAATATATTTTGGAAAACTGCAATTTTTCAGGAATTTTGCGTACTTTAAATATTTCTTATAATACCAATCGTGGCCTTGTTTACTTTTGGTTAGGTAGTGATTGTGTATATAAAAAGATGTTATTCGGCATAATATATATATCCAGCTCTACATTTGTTCTTTCGATTTTCTTGTATTAATGTCGCAGTTATACTCTCTTGAAAACATGCAGGAGATGCTAAAGCTAGCTGTCAAATACAACAAAGCAGTTCAAGATGAGGATGAATTGCCACCGGAAAAACTAGCAATTGCGAACGTGGGAAAGCAAGACGCAAAGAAGCATCTCGAGGAGCACGTCTCGAACTTGATGTCTTCAAACATCGTTCAGACATTAGGCACGATGCTCGACACAGTTGTTTTCTAGAGAGAGAGAGAGAGATATCACAAAATCTTTGATTTGGTTGCTAGTTTGACTATGTTGTATCAACATCTGATCATTTGTACTCAGCAACATTTCCCATTCCATGAAATTCAGCTTTTTATGGACATACAAAAAACGCAAATTCGATAGACATAACCGTCGTCTGAAGCAAAATTTATTAAATGAATCGTAACTTATTATGGTTCGATACTATTCGCTAGTGTCGAAGCATATGCAGGTGGCATATCCCTATTGAAGAAAGCAGCCATTCTTGTCATCCTCTCTTTAGCTCTCTCGCCATTCAAGTCGTGCAAATGAAAGCAATGCCCCTCCCCTTCGACTTCATGGATCTCAACCGTACCCAACCACCCACTCCGACTCAACGCATCGAAATAAAGCCTCCCTCTATCCTTCAAAATATCCTTCTCGGCCACACAAACCAGCACTCTCCAGCACCCGAGACCCGCCAAACCCGGCCCAACCGGGTCGATCCACGGGTCGTCTACCGGGCACGACGGACAAACCAACGGCCACAGCCGGTCCACGTATGCCTTCCTGTCTGGGTCGAGCGCCTCCGACCCGATCGGATCTGGCCCCCAGAAATATGGATCCACCAATGCGATCCCAAGAATTTCCAATTTCACCCCTGCGTCGGGATTCCCGACCGCCATGGCCAAGTTGTGCGCTATGTTGCCGCCCGCGCTGTCGCCGGAGAGGAAAACTCGCCGGAAGTCCGCATGGCGGTTGAGGAGCGGCTCAGGCCCGTCGCCGCTACTGTGAGCCGACACCCACTGGAGCGCGGCCCATGAGTCCTCGTAGCCAATGGGGAGAGGGTGCTCCGGAGCCCTCCTGTAGTGCACGGAAACTGCGATGACTTGGGATTCGGCTACGAGGGCATTCATGTAATTGTGGTAGAGAGGAGAAGAAGGGGTGTACACGAAGAATGCACCCCCGTGGAAATAAACAAGAAGAGGGAGCTTCTGATTGGCAGTGGTGAGTTTTGGCAGGTAGATTCGGACATAAACCTCGGTTTCCGGGATTATGTCTTTTACGTCCTTTGAGGAAACGCCCGTTTGAGGATCGGTGCCAGGTGGCGTGGTGTCGGTTCCGGTTAATCTTTCGACGTGGCCGTTTTTGTAGACTTTGATATGTGGTGGAAACTCATAGTCTAGCTCATTGATGGTTGCAGCCATTGTAGAGGAAGAGAGTTATTTTCAGAGGATAGTTTTTTTTTCCCAATGGATATGAGTTGTGATGTTTTTCCTCCACACCTTTGTGTATTTATAACAAAATTGATGGATGTATTGGGTCAATGAGACGTTGACTAAACTAACCAAGGTTCAGTTCTGACCTGAATACTGATTTTTTATGATACGGGATCTTGGGAGAAACATGTAAATATTAATAGTATAGGGGTGTATTTATAAATATTCCATAATAAACATATATAAGTTTTTGTTTATATATAAATTCTTTTTATATATTTTGTACAAACATATTAAAAATAAATTTTACTATCAACTATTAATTTGCAATTGATCATTAAATCATGTAAATAATTTGAGAAACAACAAAAATGTTTGAAAATTTGCTATTCATTTTCAAACGTGTTTCTAACTTTTTAGAAATTGCAAAATGACCCGTAAGGTGTCCGGCAGGTGTCCTCGAGTTTCCGATACGAAACGCAAAAACGTTGAGAAGTTGAAATTTCTGTGCTTCATAAGCTTTAATATGGTGCGATATTATTTCAACTACATATGTTATCGGAATACAAAATTCATTCGTGTATATTTACCCTTCGACCAATCTTTCTCCACGACCAAGAATTAGATGGAGACTTGGGCAGAGGAGGCTGCAACAAAGTCTTCCGACAAAGGCCGAACGGCCACCCTTCACACTCAATAATCATCTCCCGAATAATAAAAGATTGCTTGGCGACGAAGTAATCCCGATTAACATGGGTCCCACTTAAGCTCGAAGATCGAGAAAAACGTGTTTTAACAGAGAATGATTCGTCGAAGCTAGTGGCGCTCGAGCATCGTGAGAGCCTACTGCATGCAGAGAGAAACTCCTCTCTGTTTTTTCCACAGTTGCTCCTTTTTTCGGTTGCTTGTGGAGATAGAGGCCATTTAAAGCTATCTATTCCGATTCGGGATTTTCTTTGTTTGCGTTTTGATTCGATGTATTTACCTACGATTGCTGAAATGAATACCTGTTATACAACCAAAAAAAAAAAAGATTGTTACGACAAATACGATGGAATTTTCAAAGATAAAATGAAGAGATGAAGTGAGTTTTATTACCTCTTCTTGTTGGTCGAAATCGGTGATCGGCTCCGCTTCTTCGGGGATTGAATCGGGTCGAAAAGAACGACGTTTGGTGAATAAATCCTTGAGGAATTTGAATCTCTTGAAGGGATTTGGTGGCTCTTCTTGATAAAACATATTCATCATGTTTTTAGGTGGAAAAGTGAGGTGTGTGTATAGTACTACTATTAGTACACAACAATCTTTGGGGTGAAGCCAAAGTTAAAAGAAAAGATACAAAAGTTCTAACATATATATATATATATATATATATATATATATATATATATATATATATATATATATATATATATAAGTGTAAATTACGGCCACCAGCCTGAGATAATGTTAAAATACGAAAATATCCCTCATGTTTGGGTAACTACAGTCGCTTCTCAACTATTACACGTTCACCCTTATGGTGTCAAATTCAACAGACTCTTCTAGATTCAGGCCGTGGAATGTTCTCTAGTTTGTACTCGTTTCGGGTTTCGAGTTTCTGAATGCACCATAATCTGATATTTACAAGGCAAGAGATACACATCTTATGATCATCTTATTTCAAAATGTGTAGCTCGAATGTGATAAAACGGGTACAAACTGGAGAATATTCCACATAATCTAGAAGATTCCACAAAATTTGACACCACAAGGGTGAACGTGTAAGAAAATTCCTCGCTGAGGGGAGTGGTTGTAATTACCCAAATACGAGGTTTTTTTTTCCTTCGGAATTTGACCTTATCTCAAGGGTGGCTGAGAGGAATGGAATAACAATTAGTCTTCTTACTCATTTTGCACAATTCCATCGATCAAAACTCGAACTATATATCGTTAATACGATCGAAAAGGTGCTGCAACTGACAACTAACTAATAAAACCAATACCGTTCAAACACTACGATAACTCTATTTTTAAAATTATTAGATCCGAAACCATCATATACGAGATGTAGGAACTTATAAGACGGAGTCTTTTAACTAATCTCTAGCCAAAGATGAAATATAACCTCCACTCTCCCTCGTTATCGGACCGATCGAACATACGAAAAACATATCGAGAAATTTCAAGATTTCCAAAAGGGCAGCTAAGTACGAAACGAAACCGTATCAAGAACTGCATTTTTATTTAAAAAAAACAAAAAAGGGGAATCAATTAGGAGATTTCTGAAGCTGTTGTGATGTGACAGAAATAAGAGATTGAAGCTTCGCAACGGCAAACGTCTTGTGAGGCGGGCATTTCGACAGAGCAACGTTTAACGATATTACAGCTTCGTCGACGTTACCTGCAGCCATGGAAGCCATCCCTGCCTTGTAAGCTTCATCCGCCATTCGAGCATCGAATTCCGAATACGCCGACGATTTGTTGGAAAAAACGGGAGCACGAGCGTACTCGAGAGAAGCAATGGCGGAGTTAATCTCCGCCATCAACACCTCCGGTGGATCAACGGCTACGATCTTCACACCGTCGAATACATTCCACGGATGCTTCTTTTCTACAGCACTCATTCATTCGATCGTACGACAAGTTCTCGTCGATAATCGAGAACTCTCGTTTAGGCTACCAATACTGCATTATCAGTTCATTTAACAGCTACATATCATTGCAATAAAAATATATAATTAACTGTGATTAAATCTAAAAGCAGCAAATCTATATATCCACAGCTAATCAAGAAATTAATTTCATTTATAAATAAACAATATAATATATATAATAATCAGAAATAGCTCAACCACATATATAATATATTTCCCCAACATGCCTGATTCACATAAACGACGCAGTTTGATAAATTCACAAGTAATTAACAAAGATGAAATTTAAAAAAAAAAAAATTAAAATTAAAGGAAAAATATATAGTAAGCCACTCATATATCAGCTGCAAGATAGATGATCTAAACTGAATATGATGTTAGAAATCGAACCTTTGAGGAAGAAAATTTAATTATTATATGGCTGCGCTTCAAGATTGAGAAGGTTCTTGATTTACCATTGTGTCAAAAAAAAAAAAAAAAAAAAAAAAAAAAAAAATTGGATTTATAAGATAAAACAAAATTATGTGTAACTAGATATAAAAAATACATAAGAAATGTGAGGATATAACAATATTTTGATTGGAATTTTTTTTTTAATTTTTATATATTTATTTTTTAATTAAAAGGATAGGACGAAGCTATTTGGATTCCACCTAATATTGGTTTCCAATTCTACCCTTTGCATATTTTATGTATACTTTGATCTATTATAAAATACTTTATCGCTTTCCAGTCTAATATTTTATACACTACGCGCTTGTACGGTTATTTATATTGGATTATATCGGATTAGATAAGATTGGATTAACTCTCTACTGACTAATTAATTATTCAGTTAGTAGTATATTCGGTTTCTCAGATTAGATCTTCTATTAAATTTGTTAAATTCGGTTATTATATATAAATTATCTATAAAACCACTTAGTTTACAATAATAAAATATGTTTTTAAGGATAAAATTGTCTTTTTCTCTTTTTAATCACCCGCTGCGGTAGCCGCCATCAAAAGCCCATTACCTAGTCGTTGATTTTCTGCATTTTTTTGTTTTTTTTTTTGTTTGTTTTGGAAATCAAAATATATAAATTGGTAATTTCGGCGAAGAAGACGACCAATTCAAGAAAAAAAAATTGAATCATATCTTCCCAACCAAATAGGACCTAATAGTATATATATATTGTAATCTTAGGTGCTCATACATTTGGGCGTGCAAAATGCAATACATTCCGCCACATGCTCTACAACTTCGGCAATTCCGGTCGGCCCGACCAAAGCATAGAACCTACTTACCTGGAAATGTTGCGACAAACGTGCCCTAAAAATGGCGCCGGAACCACCTTGGAAAATCTTGACCAATCAACGCCCAACGTTTCGACAACAACTACTTTGATGTAAAGCGGTAGTCGGCAATCGACATAGACTAGTAGTGACGAATCACACGAGCCATGAAATTTTTACAATTTGCAATTTTCAGTGTCACAAGTATTGAATTGCCAAAGGCAAATATTGGATGTTCAAATATACAAAAGATGTAACTGTTTATCTTAACTTACTATCAACATGGTACTCGACTTTTCGTGTTATACAACAAAACTAAGAGCCGAACCCAATTTTTCACAAACGAAAAAAATAAGATAGCAACTTAATCGGTTCGTCAAAACTTTTCACACACTAACGACCCCAGATACCCACGGAACAATTAGTGGTGCGTTTGGATGCGTATCTCGGTATGATTCGGAATATGTACCCTTGAAATTCAATTTTGGTGTCTCTGACTGCAGAAGAATAATTAATGCAGAATGAATCAATTTTCACTACCCAGCGCAAAAAAAAAATTCAAGATATTGATAAATATGTCATGAAAAAACGGGTGTGGACTTACATATTTAAGCCAGCATTCTTGATTTTTATGTTGGTAAATATCGGGAGAGAAGCATCCCGTCTCGGATGGGCAATAAACCCAAATATTGCATTTTTTACCATCGAGATTGGCATTTTTGGCTTGATCCAAACACGCCATACAACAATCATAGGCCGACTCTTTCGGGTGAGTCAGCCCCCATCGAACGGCAACACCACCATAGTCTGTGTGAAGTTCCGCGTGGCATTCAGCTGGTAGCTGTCTCCCTGGCAAGATCTCTTAAAAAAAAGAAAAAATTCAATACCCGAGAACAAGAACTTTTCGTTTTCTGACAATCTATCAGTGATCAATTTTAGCTAATCCGTAAGTAAAGTAAGATTTTTTTTATTGTTCACTAGTAAAACATATTTGAATTAGGGGTGGAAATCGGATGGATCGGAATTAGAATTTTTAGAAAAAAAAAATCGATTTTTTCTCGGAAGTGAAAAGCTAATTCCAATTCTGTTCCAAGAAAATTCAGGAAAATGGGAAATCGGAATTTCGGGAAGTGGAATGAAAAAAATTGTTCAAAAACTCGGAAATTTTCGGATCACAGTCGGCGGATTTGAAAACAAAATTAGTAACCTAAAATATATAACACAAATAATTTTGATACTACAAATGTAACTTTCAGAAAAAGAAAAAGAAAATCGGAATTTCTGGAATTACGTTAGGAAAATAAATTTGGACCGGAAATTGGAATCTCGTATATATTCCAATTCCAATCCAAAAAAAAAATGGAAAATTCAGAAAACCGAATTTTTGGTTTTCGGAATGAAAAATATTTTTAAGTTAAAAAATTGGAAATTTCGGATCGAAATCGTCAGAAATCGGAAACTCCGTTACAGTTTCCACCCATAACACGAGCGTTAAAAAGCAATTGAGCTCTAACATATAAAAGAAAAGTCCCAAGTCATTACCAAACTCCTCTTCACCATCGGGTTTGTCATCGTGTTCCTTGTTAACGATCTCAACCGGTATCCACAAACCAATCTCTTCCTCCAATTCTACCCAACCAGAACTCAATGCTCTTACGACAATTTCTGATAACCGATCAAAGTGAATATTTTATTGCATTAAATAATCTGAAACCAAAGGAAAATCATTTTTAATCGAAATTTCTATTGATCATATCCCTACCGGCTTCTTCAGGCAAAATTGTTGAATTTAAGATTTTCCCACGAACGAGCTTTTTAGCTTCTTTTAATTTTTGTTTGCGCCAGGTTTCAACTGTATTTGCTTAACATAAAGATCCTTAACGAATTAAATTTTTTAATAATTAAATAAATATTAATTTTTTTGATCACCTCAGATTTAGAAATTGAACCAAATTTTCGTTTTTCATTTTATACAAATTCGATAAAGATAACCAAATGTAGAGACCCCGGGGCAGTACAATTAACGTGCATCAATAAATAGTTCCCGTACAAAAACTTTGAATTTAAATGAAAGATCGGCATAGAAAGCAGAGTTGCATTGAATCAAACTTTACGTCATAAAATAAATTTGTTCGCACCTCGTTGAGCTGTTGTATTGGTTGCAGCATCTAAGCTTCTTAACCTATTCAAAATCTCGTCGATTAGCTTTACTTTCAAATGCCGCGGCAGTTCCACCACACTTTCTTCCTTTGCAATTCTTTTCTTTAATCGTGTCACCTTCAGAAAAAAAAAAAAAAAAAAAAAAAAAAAAAAAAAAAAAAACTCCCGAAAAATTATACATTTATTGCAAAAACTAACAAATTAAAATACAATTAAACCTATATAAATTAATATAGTAGAGACTAGCAAAATTCTGTTAATTTCGCGAAATATTAAATTATCGAACTAATAATGTAATAAGTTTTTACCAAGTAGGGACAAGAATAAATTATTATTATTCAAGCGAGGTTATTAATTTATCGAGGTACATTGCTATGTCGTCCAGACAAACAACACGGAATCGGAATCTCACCAGTTCAACAAGTTTTGTAGGTTCAGATGCTTTTCGGATTCCATTCGACACCTGCATTTGCCTAATCTGGTCTGGACTATAACTAAATGCTGTAAAATAAAATCAAAAAGTACTAATTCAAGACCTAATTCATCATCAGCACATAAATGCAAAAACAGAAAAAAGGAAATAAAAAAATAAAAAAATCAATTCAAACAATTTTCCTAATGAAAATTAAAATTGACAAAATTGAACAAGTTGTTCTTACTGGTATGAGAATCAACAAGATGAGTGTAGAGAGAGCGGAGCACAAAGAGAGCAGCTACAATATTGATGGAACACACAATCAGAGTTGCCCTATTGTATGAACATTTACAATTATGCCCCGGCTCTCCTCTCCCCATTTTCTTCAACTTCCCCTCCAATCCACCATCACTTTCTCTCTCTAAATCTAACTCTCCATATCTATATATATATATATATATATATATATATATATATATATTAAGAGAGAGAGAGAGAGAGAGAGAGAGAGAGAATTCCCGGAATTCCGAAAGAATCAAAATAGGATGATTGTATCAATGGTTTCTGATAAATTAATTAAACAAAGGTAGAATATGGTTGGAACGTGGAGCCAAATTTATCGTTGTATTTGTATATAAAATAATAAATAATGTAAGAGTTGGGGTTCCATGATTTCTCAACTATGCTTGAGTTTGGTATGAAGGTTGAAAAATAAGTTAATAGTAATTGCATTAACAACTAAGGGTAAACTAGTATTTCACCCGTGCGATGCACGGGGAATACTATTTTCGATAATTGATATATAATATGATAGAATTCGGCAAAAAGCCAAAGTCCATTCTGTTTGATTTAAGTACCAACTTAAATAATATGTATATATACATATATATATATTTATTTATTTATATATTCTTCTCCTGTCACTATGGAATTTATGCAAAGTGGATATTTTCGAAACTTATCACAAAATATATTTCAAAGATATTACACTCTAAAATTATAATATTTAATATGTTAAATGAAATATATCTAACAAAAAATATGTAATTAAATATTTAGAAAATTCAACAATAAAATACTTGAAATATGATAACTTGTACCAATATGTAGCTACAATCAGAATACTTAAAATTATGATGAATTACATGTATCCATATTCGTAGTTTTGAAATTTGCAAAATAATGTAATAATTTTGGAGTTCATGTGTATACATTTTCAATATATTTTTTTAGTGTATTTTATTCATAATTATTATAGAAATGTCGCACAAAATAAATACTCCAAATATTCTGCATAAAATAAATATAATGACTTCAAATTAAAGTCCCGCCGCTTTGATCGAATAACTTAAACTGCTCGCTCAATTGCCTTCTTCAGCAACCCCACCTCTTAATTCCAAATTCTATCACTCCATTTTCACAGCTGGCTCAGAATTTGCCAACTGAATGGGGATATCTCTCGTGAGTATGTATAGGCAAAAGCCAATGAGCTTTTTGATTGAGCTTAAAAAAAATAACCTCCCTCAAAATTTATCATCAAGAAAATTTGTGTCCCATGAATAAAATAATAATGAAAATATATTACCTTTTAGCGGAACTTGATATGTTGTTCTTCGATGGAACTTTCTGCTGTTAATCTAATCTGGCCATCCAATAACCCAAATGATCTCTGTATTATTACAACTTTAAGAGAGAAGTAATCTCTCAATATAGTAAATTGCCAATGGAATGTCACATTTAATAAATCATACAGGACATTAATGTCATGTTGTTGCCATTTTGGCAATATTTGAAAACTTGAAACTTTTAAAACGACAATGATTTTGGCAACTATGAGGAATTGAAAGCTGCTATGTAATGTAGCCACATAATTGAATGAAATCTTAAATAGCTGATTGAATGAATAGGTGTCAAGTCAAACCTGCAGCAGCCAAGTGAGCTTACTATTCGGATAAGGTATGCAAACACCTTCCCTTTGCTTTACATATGAGCCTGAAACGTGGTTCAAAATACTTGATCAAGAAATAATATTTCAACAACAAAAAGCTAATACAATTTAAAATAAAATATGAGATGTCTGAAGATTTAAACCAATGAATTTGAAAATCACCATCAGACGTCTCTCCAACGTTTGTTCCCTCTGAATTTCTACATCAGAAACGAATTCTTACTGTACACAATAGAGTATAATTAAATCATGTGGCTAGTGGCATAATGTGTAGCTTATTTGCCCTGAGATTTTGCCTCAAATAATTACAATACTAAATAATAATTCGATCAATTAATATAGCTTACTTCTCTCTACATTTGAACAAAAGACAATGTAAAAGAAGAAAACAAAACCATCCATCTTATCCCACCTTCTTCATTTCGATTTTATTTGATTTCTGAATTTCAATTCACCCTGAGACCCCCCAACCCCAAACACCCTCTGATCCTAAAAAAAAAACCTAAACCCCACTAAACTGCCAACACCATCTCTTTTACTTGTCTCAATTTATACTTAATTATGTGTTCTTTTTCCCACAAAATCCGCAATATATGAATGTTCTTTGCATAAATCATATGAGGTGGTGTACATGTATATGCTTTATGGTCGATATTCAATCTCAGAAATGGCCCTAAGAATACCCAACTGGTAATTCCATTTATATATAAGATCATCAAAAATTATCACATACCAATAAAATCAAATGGGTGGAATTTATAAAATCACCACAATACTATCTATCAGTTACACATACTTGATGATGAAATAATTGAAAGATATAAATCACCATATGCTGGAAATGATCAGGTTAGACATCATTCAGATCCAAAATTGGTAAAACAAATTCAATTATTAACTCCTTGCCAATTACATAACTATAGTGCGAGAGCGAATAAGTTCTGAAAAACGAACGGTTCAACATGAAATGGGAAAAGAACACAAGCCAACACTACCGATTTTGCAAAACATTTCATACCACTGATTTAACGGGGGAGAAAACTTAACACAATTTGTAACAAAAGTTGTCAAAAGTGCTTAATTTAGTTTGAATCAAGCTTATAACCTTGTCACGGTCATCTTTCATCTTCATTTCATAGAAATTAATCATTACTTCATCACTTTAATGACTATAAATTTAATGAAGGAACATTGTCAATTTGAAAAATATTATACATTTTCGAAGTATATATTATCTAAAAATAATATATATTATCTAAAAACAGGGGAAATACTACACATATTCACTATCAAACAATCAGAAAGTTGAGAAAATGTTCACTATTGTCATCTAAAAACAGGGGCAATAATCGTGTAACAAATATCATGATAATAGTAATATCAGAAATATCATGCAAAAAAAAAAAATGAAAAAGATGTCCTAGAAACCGCATCGTCATCATCGATGCCCCAGAACTTTAATAACATCATATAAAACTACTATTAATGCAAACCCCAATTAAAAAAAAAAAAAAAAAAAAAAAAGCGAATTAAGAAACCTCAAATCATAAGCAAGAACTCCTTAAATTAAAATACATACTGTGATAAGCAAGAAAACCTCAAATTCCGTCCAAACTCCTTCAATTTTGTCGATATACTATCACATTTTTTGGAAGAAAGAAGACAACTGCGTGCCTGGAGACAAAATTCTACGTCATAACCAGACAAATAAAAAGACAAAGAACCTGAAAAAAAACCCAATAAATTTGAATTTTGAACATAAAATGCGACTATCACTAACCTCTTGAGAAGCATTTTGGATGCATCAAAACTACAGTTTCAAACATTCCCACGCCCAAAAATTGTTTAGTAATTATTCAGTTGCAGCTTTAATATTGTGGGCATCAGTAATTTTTGAAAGATTCATGTGTTCGTTCCTTTTTAGCAAACGAAAAACAAAATTATATTTCGGGTTGGTTTACACATGTGAAATAAAATTGGAATTGGGAAGTTACGGATCGTGAAAACAACTGATGTACAAAAAAAAAAAAAAAACTTGTTGTGAGAGGTTACGAATCGTGAGTTGCAGTTAATTCAGGGGATGCCAACGTTGATTTTTTTTTTCTTCTAAAAGTAGTCCCAAGACTTTCAAACAATTACGAAAAAGCAAACGAAAAAACATCTTCACTTTTTGACGGGCCTTGTTCTTGAATCATAAAACCATAAAAAATGAAAAAATAAAAATAAACCAACAACACGTAAACTAAATCCCTGCATATCAAAATTTCTCATGTATTTCTTTTACTCGGCTATGCTTCAGAAAAGAGAAAATTATCCGGTTTGTTTAGGCAAATCAGGAATATATGGATGGGGGCTCTTTGCTAGGCAAAACATTGAAGAAGTAGATATGCTAATAATTCACGTGTCCCAATTATTGTTGTTAATAATTTAAAATAAATGGGTCCAATCTAATTCCAACGTTTTTGCTTAAATTTGGTCCTTTTGCAGATTATAGAAAAATTTGGAGAAGAAAAATTTCTTACTTGAAATTTCAACCACCGTTGGCAGTGGCGTTCGCTGGCAGCAAATGGTCCTTCACTCCGACTGTCGGATGATTTTTGTTGAACTTTTGACCGGCGGATTTTAGAGCTTCAATTTTCTGGAAAGTAATAATTGTTGAAAGATTTGTGTGAGAATTTGTGTTATATACAGATGAGACATGAAATTTGAGATGAGAAGATCTAAAACAAATGAAGAAAACTGATTTCAATCGGCGGTTTGTGCAGTTGAAGGAGTGGGTTTTGAAAGAGAAATTTAGGGATAAAAAATTAGAGGAAAATTAGACGAGAGATGATGAAAAACGGCTGATATATTTTAGGGGAGATGAAATATGGGTTTTTCATTTTTACACCCAAAAATAGTAAAAATTATAAAACTTGCCCTAGGGTTAGAAACCCTAAGTTGCCACGTGTCAGAAAATGAGGCAAGGTATTGTCTTTTTATATATATATAGATTGCATTTCCCCCTTTTATTTTGGCTCCATTCCTCGGTGGAGTGTACTTTCAAGATCGGTATCACTTTATCTCCTTCTACTTTCGATTGTATCGATTTGTCCGTGCATTTGAAAAATTGTCTCAATGTGGTCCTCGCTATTCGTTGTCGGACGACCTTAACACCGTTTGATCTAAGCACTGAAATTACAAACGCCACCTCTCCCAGTTTAAATAATTATTACAAAAATAAAAAATAAATAAAAAAAACGAAAAATAAAATAATAAAAAAGTTTAAGACAACGAGAAAACATAGTTCTCTATGCCAGCCACGATTTATTTTTTTAATAATTATTTAAACTGGGAAGGTGGCTTTTTTGTAATTTTCATACTTGATCGAACGGTGTTACGGTCAAAGGTCTAAAAACTAATGACGAAGGCCACATTGAGACTTTTTTTTCAAATATTGGGGAACAAATCGAAGCAATCAAGAGTAGAAGGGGTAAACAATATCGAGGCAAAATACAAG